TTTCGTGATGACTCTGTCGCGATAGGATGCAATGCGACATCATTTTCCGGACAACCTTATAAAATGGGTTTTTGGCTAGATCACTAGAAAGATTTATTGGAGTTAGAAGTCAAATTTCTCAAAGCCTAGTTTATACTAAATCATGGTATCAAGAAACACTCCATATTTTCTACCATATTTAGCTTATCACGAAAGCCAAGAAGAAACTGGCAGAAAGAGCAAAGAAGATCGACCAAACTGCTGGAGAATTGGAGGGTGTTCAAAAGTTTGTTTTTGGTGTTTTCTCTGTCACTTTCAACCCTGCCATGATCTTTCTATAGGAATGCTGCCGAACTTATGCAAGAACTCGATGCTGCTCGTGAGTCAGAGCTTCTTTCATCCGCGCTCAAGGTTGCGGAACCGGGAACGCAAGCTGAGAAGTTGAAAGTGCTGAAGGAATCTCTGAAGAATACTGGAAAACGAGTAAGCGGACTTTTTTGAATTTGGGGTAGTTGTGTCAACATCTTGACCATGCGATCCAGGTGGATGACTTCGTTTCTGATTGCAAATTACTCATCCGCACAGCCGGGGCCGAAGCTGATACTACGGAATTGGTTTGTTGCCATTTATCGCTTTTTTGAAGTAAGGAGTACATGTTTTCCTCTCAGGACAAAACCTTGCAAGATGTTTGTGACAAATGGTCGGAAGTGTCTACTTCCCTTGCTTCGAAAGAAAGAGAGGTGGATGCGGCTGTGCAACAGCTTGGACGGTGGGCAATCCTTTTTTTGAAGAGCATCATTTGTATGGATTTAATTTCAGCTACGAAGATGCCTACAAAGGACTTCTGAATTGGCTGGAAGAAACAGAAGAGATGATGGAAAATCAGAAACCTCCTGCCGCTGATGCTAAGGTGACTTGATCTTATCATCTCTTCGAATTTACTAAAATAATTTTGTTATTAAGGTAGCCAAGGCTCAGATGCATGCTTATGATGTTCTCATGAAGCACATTGAAGATAAAGATTTGAGGTCAGAAGAAATTTTTGATGAAAGGTCGATTAATTGACGAGCTTTTTTTT